AAAAAAAAAAAAAAAAAAATCACTTGGTTTATGTCAGTACTGAAAAAGTTTCAGTTTTTGAGCATTTCAGGTTTTCAGATTAGCGATGTTCAAGCTGTGTTCTGCTTCTCAATTTATAAAACTGAGAAGAGTCCTCCTACCTCCTATCTTCAGGACCTTAGGGATAAATCAAATACACCTAATTTAGCAAACTATGAAACAGATCAATCCAATCTGACCATAGTTCAATGGACTGGGGCAGGGGTCCAGAGCCCAGTGAGTAGCAGAAGGGGAGGCTACAAAGTTCAGAATATACTATCAAGGACAGAGGTTGCTGTGAGAAAGTTCAGTAGGAGTTAGGCTCTTGTGGCCCGGGATTTAGTTCTGTGGCACCGCACCTGCCTTGCAAGTGCAAGTGCAAGGTCTTGAGTTTGATCCCCGGACCGCAAAAAAGATAAAGAAAAAAAAGTTAGGCTCTTGTATCAATGTCTCTTGTCGTTCTGAGAGATGGACATCATCTCCCTTGATTCTGGATATTTTAATTTGAATACTAAAGGCATAAAAAACTCCCCACCTTATCCTTGTCTCCAGAAGACACAGGTTTGGAAAAAAGCCTGGCGATTAGGTAGACCAAGGACTTTGGCATTATACAAAACTGGGGTTGAATCCCAGCTCTGCCACCTTCCTAGCTTTGTGACCTTAGGTAAGTTACTCAATCTCTCTGAACCTGTTTCCTTAAGTGTAAAGTAGGGATGTTGTAATAATATCCACTCTTCAGGATTATAGTGCAAATTAAAACAGCCTAGTGTGCTATTAGACACCCAATAAGAGCTAAATGAATGCACATGCCCCTCTGTTTTGGCCTCCCAGACCTTTGTACGTGGGTCAGGGATGTGACGTACACTCCATTTCCTGCAAGCATTGGGGCAGGAGACAGCAAAAGACATCTTCTGCTCCTGCCTCCCTCACCTCCCAGCCCAAGGCCTAAGGGGAGGGAGAGGCAGGTCCTGGTCTTCTCCAGGGCCTCAGTTAGCCCTCCTTCCACCCAGACATGGACACAAAATGGGACAAAGGAAAGTTAAAATATATTCAAATGAACACATTTTACACACTCACTGTAAAAGAGGCAGTCGGCACAGAATGTATAAATAAAAGTATTTCCAGTTTCCTTTCCACAACCCGCTTACAGTAGCAACCTTTACCTTTGTCTGCCTTTTGTTCCGTTTTCTAGAGGATGAATCATCTCTCCACCCCATTCAGACTCCCAGAACTATTACTTCCTCCCTTGTCCCTGTACCTCACTTCAAAAACCACCCTCATTATTCCAGTAATTTCCACAGTCCTCCTGTCCCAGTTTGTAGCATAAGAGCCCCACTCTCGTCTCATCAGGCCCACGTGGTGGGACATGCCTGTAATCCCAGATTCTAGGAGGCCGAGGCCTAAAAGTTTGAGCCCAATTTGGGCTACTTAGTGAGACCTTGTCTCAAAATATAAAATTTAAAAAGGGTTCAGAATATCTCTCAGTGCCAAGGCCCTAGGTTCAGTCCCTAGCACTGCAACAACAACAAAAAATAAAAACAAAAACAAAACCCCTAAAATTTGTGGAAGACATACAGATAAATTAGTATCATGAAAACCGTACATTTTAAATGGAAAAATGGGAATTGCAAAACTTTCCTCTCTTAGGTACTACTTTGGGAATCCAGTTAAAATCTAGTACATGTGAGGGCAGGGATTTAGCTCAGTGGTGACGCTGCCTGCCTCTCAAGCATGCCCAGTACCAAAAAATAAAATAAAATAAAACAAAATCTAGTATGTGTGGTAATTAAGCCCCCAAAGCTCATTGTGTAAACATGCTGTGATTAGAAAATAGTGACCAGGGAACACTTCCAGGCTGATCAAGAGGAAAAAAAGCTAAGTACAGTGTGCTGCTTCTGTATCAGGCTGTGTACATGATAGCATTTCAGCCTCTGAACAATCCTAGGAATTAGGAACTGTTATCCTCATTCCATGAGTGGAGATGCAGAAGGAGGCTGAGATGCAGATATGAGGACCGGTGGCTGAGCAGAGGTGGGATGCTATTCTGTGATTGTGCCCAATATCTAAACCTCTGTGCTGTCTTCAGAGCCAAGAAGCTGGAGCACATTTCTTCCTATTTCCCCTGACGAGTGCTTCACTATTCCCGCCTAATTCACAAAGCGGAAACTCTGCCAGTAGAAAGGAAAGGACAGTGAGTTAGCCCACAGGGAGGAGTAAGGGAATTTGCCTATTTACCAGCATCAAGGCTATTGACTGGGTGAGTGTTCCCCTGTCTTGAACCATTAGCACTCTTTAGCTTCCCCCAAAGAAATCTAGAACTGCACCCCAGCCCAGCTCAGAGCAATAACTTGTGAGTCAGAAGCCTCGGTTTCTGCCCTGGTTCTGCCACTCCCTGGATGAGAGGCCTCGGGCAATTCATGTCACCTCAGTGGGCTGGTTTCCCTCTTACTGCTCCAAGAACAGGTTAATGTGGACAGCCTCTGAGGGCTTGCGTTGGTGTTGAGAGTCAGTGATTCCATGACAAGGCTAGGTGTATCAGAGGGAGGGCGATGCCACTTGTCTGCCTAAGCTTAGGAACAGTGAGTGGTGTCAAGTCTGAGTAGTTAAGTGCTACGAAACTCCCAACCAGTAGCCTCTGTTCTTCCTCTTCCATCTCCCCTGGAGACCGGGCAGTGTTTTGCTACAGTGAGCTGAGAGGTCAGGACCTGGTAAATGTCAGAGAACTCTTCTCTAAAGCACCCTATTGATCAAGCTCAGGGTAGACTCCTTGGTTGGCCTGGTGGCAGGAAAATTGATGATGTTCTCCTCTCAGACTCAGGAAAACAGCCCCACCCCGGGGAAAGAATGGTAATAAGGATAAAGCAGCAGCTGTTTTGAGAGAACAAATGGTTTGGATTGGGGCTGACTTTTCAAATAGTCCCAGCAACCTCTGTCAGTGCCACAAGACCTTGACTGGGCAGTTTACAGCCAACTGAGTTACAGAGTAACAAGAAACTATGTAGACTAGGTATGGCCTCCCATCTACTCAGAAGGCAGAGGAGGATCACAAGTTCAAGGCCAGCCCTGGGCAACAAAGTAAGACCTTATCTCAAAATAAAACAAAATTGTCCAAGGATTTAGCTCAGTGTGGTGCTGCCTGTCTTGCCAGCACAGGGTCCTGAGTCCAATCTCCGGTACCAAAAACAAAAAACAAAAAAACAAAAATGGGCTGAAGGAAATAGCTCAGTGGTAGAGTGCTTGACTAGCATGCATAAGGCCCTGGGCTCAATTTCTAGGCCCTGGGCTCAATTTCTAGTACTGGGGGTTGGGAGGAAATCTGTAAGAACCTGAGCTTCCAGCTTCCTCCCTCTGTGAACATTGGCTAGGGTTTGACACCTCCAAATTTCAAGGTCCCTCACTCTTGACTGTATTACCCACCCTAGGATTCAGGCGGTAGAGTGAGGCTGAGAATAAAAGTAGGTTTATTCCAGGTAGGAGAAGATGGTAAACTTTGGGAAAACTGAAGTAATGAATCAGAGTATTTTTATTATAAAAAGAAACATTTCCTGTCTAATTTAGTGCGTTCAACAGTTACTTCCCCATCCCCCAATTTCCTGGTCAAGACCATGATCCAAGACAGTCAGTTTATACTTGAACAACAGAAAATGTAAAACAGGAACCATTACAACCATTCAGAGTTGGCATAAAAGAAGGTTAAGTATGGGTCTGTACACAAATGAGTAAAGACTAATTGTAAAATGCTTCGGTATGACACAAACTAGGTAAAAAAAAATGAACCCTCAAAGTAAATATCAAATGTTGAAAATGACAAAGTTCAACTTGCTTTGAATCAGGCAACAAGTGAAGAACTGTAGAGTGCTCACAAAGAAATATGTTTAAAAAGTGACTCATCCAGCAATGAACTTGCAGTATATAAATACGGTGCACAATTGAGCATTCTTTGTAACACATGAAGTCAGTTGTGACAGCCATTCTAATACCTCACTGGAATCCCAGAGATGCAAGAGGCAGAGCACACTTAGGTCAGCTGGGCAACTCCTAGTACCTACTCAGTGTGTCCCCTTTGAATAACCCCAATGATGGCAATAATCTCTGTAATCAGAAACCAACGGCCTCTTAGAAAAATAACTGGAGGCCCTGGCCCAAGGCCCAAATCAACATTTGTGGCCTGGCCTGCTACTTTGCACAGACATGCTACTGGACAGCAGCCAAAATCTGTTGCTTCTCAATTGAGAGCCCAATTCCAATGGCTCCAGGAGGTGGGAAAAAAAATTGGTTCCTTTTCTCAGACCAATTGTTAGACATGACCTGGAAATAAATTTCTAGGTGTAGGAATCACTTTTTTCAGTAGTTCAAGAACCTTGAATCCTACAAGCACCTCTGCTAACCAAGTGATTTTAAACAAACTTTGGTTTTCTTCTGACTCTGCTTATCATCAAAATAAGGAGAAAACAAACAAACAAACAAACAAAAACTTCACGGCATAAGGAAGATGAAGTATGCAAGAGCATGCATCCTAGTACCTGGCATATAGCGGGCATTCCATATATTGTATTTTGGATGGATGAATGAATGATATAAGCAGAAGGCTGTTAGCTAAGAGGACTATAGAAATATGATCATTTTTATCGTCACTGCCATCAGAAAACTCCAAGAGGAGCCTTCACTCTTGGGAAAAGAAGGTACAGAGAGACAAATTCATCAGTATACTTTTTTTTTTTTTTTTTGTACTGGGGATCGAACTCGGGTCCTGGCACTTGCAAGGCGGGCGGCAGAACCACTGAGCTAAATCCCTGGCTGTACACATTTAAATCATAGTTTTATGATTAAACTCTGAGATTAAACTCCAGTACTTTCCTAGGCCCCATTTTAATCCTCACACAAGGTGGCAATATCATTATATCTCTCCTATGAGAGGACACTATTGTTAAGCCCACTTTACAGACGAGAAAGCTGAGCTCATAAAGGTTAGGTAACTTGCCCAAAGTCACATGACAGGTAGGCGATGAAGGCTGGGAGATGAACTCAGGGGATCTGACTTCAGTGTGTACACTCTCAACCACTGCTTTTTTGTTCCTGCCAAATGGCTAAGGAGGTCTTCAGGGGAAAGAAGGGCCCAGAAAGTTCTGAAATCTCTCAGAGCCCTCTATCTGCTTCTGGGAATTTTGGAAATTGCCGGGATCCAAAGACAGGCCTCGCAAGCCTGCCCCCGCAACCCCCCTCACTCCAACGCCGGGGTGGCTGGGGGTAGTTAGAGCGGTTACGCACCAGGCTGAAAGGCAGCTCCGATGGACTTCAAAATGGGGCAAGCTAAAATGTGCCCACCCCAACCCTTTCATGGCTTTTGAAAAGCCGCAGCTCGGGCTTCTGGCCGCGAAGAAGCTCGCAAGGACCAGGGTTGGGTATTCCGGCCAAGTTAACATGGGACATGGCCAGCGCAGGTCGGTCTCCGGGGCTCAGAAGAGGCCTCTCCACAGAACGACGGCCCCTAAGGGGATCTGCCATGTGTATCCTGGGGGCACCCGGGCTCTGGCTGTCCATCCGCCCGTTTCCACGGAGAACCTACGTACCTGGTTGCCCAAAGCGGGCCACACGCAGCCCCGAGCCAGCTCACCTCGATCCCAGCCACGGTTCCCCGGAGAAAGCGCTCGGAGGCCCAGAACAGCCAATCCTCTGCCCCAGACTTGCTGAGAACTCCTGGGCGAGCCTTCCAAAACCGAACGCTGAGACTTCGCTGGCCAATCAGCTGCGGTGGAGGGGAAGAGGCGTGTCGGACCCCCGCCCCTCCGCCGGCCTCCAAAAGCCCGTGCCAAGATTCCCTGGGTCCAATCAGCGGCCGAGCAACGGGAAGGGGGCGTGTCCTCCCGGCCCTTCCCTTTGCTCCGCCACCTTTCGAACCTCGGCGTGAGGCGCCCCGGTCCTTGACGTCAGTCCCCAGGGCCTGAGCGGCTGCGCTGGCTTGGGAGCCGGGCGGGGCTGCATTCCTGGCCCCGGGTGCGGCTGCGGCTGGCCTGGCAGGATACGCGTGACGTGAGGGATGCCTCTTCTCCTGGGCTGAGGCCAGCGCGTGCAGCACTGAGTTCTTCGCTCCGCGTGGCCCACTAGGCGGCTCTTTCTACTGGCAGCTCCGAAAACACTCTCACTTAGCAGCCCACCTGTGTTCTGGCCTCGGGGAGGGAAGGGGTCAGTCAGTGCTGCGGTCAGATGGGCTTCAAAGTCAAAATGTCTTACAGATTCTAATCTTGTATCTGTGCAACTTGGGGCCGGTAACCTAAACGAAGCAGTACTTAAAATTTTTGTACTTAGTCGGAACCGTTCCTTAGGGACCTACCCTGTCGGGGTTCTTTGACAGATAGTAACAGATCCAGAAGGCCAGGCTGCTGAACCAGGAACTCTCTGTCTAGCTCACACTGAGAAATAGGAAAGCCAAACTCATGGTCTATCAGTGCTTGGAAAACCCCAATCCTGATGCCACAAGCCACATGAGCCTACTAAAGTAGAAATTGGGAATGTGTGGCTTCCCAGTTAGATGTGGTTAAGGGTGTGCAGAGACTATCTGGTGTTTCCAAACATATTTGCAGGCTTGTGAATGAGACCATTTCCATTGTTAACATCTTTATAATTTAATTTTTATGATGAGAAGATAGGGTACTTCCATAGTTGAGCGGAACATGCAAGACCTCACCAGGAGGGGAACATCTGGTACTCACATAATAGGGTTGGAAGTGATAACCACCAATAAACAGGACTCTGTTTAGAGAAGGTTGACTTTGGAGAATGTCACTTGGTGTCTTTCAGGCCAAAACCTGTTTTTACCCCAGAACCCAGATTGAAGTGCATAAGGAAACTTCTCAGGCATAAAATTTGAAAGGGCTCCAAAAAACTCAATAATCAAGATAAATAACATCTTAATGCAGTATTTAAAAATTAAAATTAATGCAAAATATACATGAAAAAATATCAAAAAGTTAAAAAATAGGCTATTGTTTATGACTCCACTTTTTTTTTTTTCTTTTGGTACCAGGGATCTAACTCAGGCAGTGGCACCACTGTGCTAAATTCCCAGCCCAACTCCACATATTTTGTAATGGGAGCATGATGGAATTTCCAGTCAGCAAATTTGGGGTCTTGATTTCACAGGTGCCAGTCTGTGGTCTCTTGGCTCTATTACTTTGAGCCTGTGGAGGCACATCATGTCAGCTGGGAAGCAAAGAAAGGAGATGTCTGGGTCCCGATGTCCCCTTAAAGTTTCCCTAATGAACTAATAATTCTCCGGCAGACTGTCATTGCAATGACTTTATGAAGATGACAATAGCATGTGAATAGATGGGGTAACATGGGGATTTAAATGTAGCCATGTTTTTTGTTTGTAGTACTTTTATCCACTTTTTCTGTTTGGGCTTGAATATGGGAGGATGTTGAATAAATTCATATTAGTGTGCATATTTTTCGTTTTATCTCAGGCTCCAATATGTTTCAACTCAGTGCTGTTTTTACACTTGGGGAAGTAAAGTCTAGGAAAGGAGATTAATCTGTTCAGCCTTAAGTAAGTGACAAACTTCCTGTCTCCCAATCTTCTTATTTTTAAAGTGGGAATGCTTAGGGCTGGAGGTGTAGAGCAGCAGTAGAGTATTATTTTAGCATGTATGAGACTGTGGGTCCACTCCCCAGCTCTACATAATGAATGCATAAATAAAATCAGACTGATCATACTCACCTCTCAGTGTTGCTGTGAGGATGTTGTAAGATAGTATGAATGCTTAATAGGCTGAGTGCTTCAGCTAACACTGGATTGAAAATATTTGAAAAATAAAAACAGTAAAAAGACAAACCAAACAAAAAAGAAAATACTTGAAAAATAAATTGCATCTGTATTGAACATGTACCGACTTTTTCCTTGTTATTATTCCCTAAATTATGCAATATAACAACCATCTATGTAGTATTTACAGTGTATTAGGTTTTATAAGTAATCTAGAGATGCTTTAAAGTACATGGGAGGATGTGTTTAGGTTCTATACAAATACTACATCTTTTTATGTCAGAGACTTGAGCATCCTCAGGGGTTCTAGGAGCCATCTCCCCATGTATATCGAGGGCAACTGTACCTTGGTACAAATGCTGCTGAGCCAGCACGGATCCCTCCGGCTTCATATCCTGCGTTTGGACAGCTCTGATCACCCACTGATGCTGAGACTTGTTCACCTGAGTTTCTAATTGGCATGTATCCTATTCTAAAGAGAGCAGAAAAGACTTTCACACTCTACTGACAAGCCACCTTATGATATGTGAGCTAACTCTGGCTTTATTTGAAAAATGATAATGATCATTCTAAAGTCTCCCACCTCCTGGTTCCAGAGATTGAACTCAGACCTTGTGTGCTTTCGAGGCAGGCACAGTACCCTGAGCTAAATCCCTAGCCCGTCTAACCTCTTTTTAAAAGCATCCTTCTGCTTATGATATTACATAAAGCAACTTAGATGGCAGCCCTGTTATTTGGAACTTATAGTCTGGAGAAGCATAAAATATCAAAGTCTCACAGACAAATGGTACCTTATAGAAATATTTAAAAAAAAATCTGTATAATATATTTAAAGCAAAATATGCTTTAGCTGCTTCTTTAAAAATCTCAAACACTGGGTAACTTTAATAAGAGAAAATTATTTTTTCTCTATGAAGAATGAGGCCTAATTGGCCTCCTCAGTGAGCACTAAGAAAGGGCCTGCAAGCTTGCTAACGTGCTGCAGGGAAAAGTAAAAACACCTGAGGTTAGTTTGTTTACCAGGGACAAGTACCATAGAGTGGCGAGACAGATGAATCCTGTGGAACTCTAATTGCTTGTGCCCCTGTCTGAGTGAATAAAGCCAAGATGCCCAGTCACTCAGGGCTCTATGTCAAAGAGAGATATGAGCCCCCTGGCTCTCCAGATTTTAACCTGTTTTGGTGTCTGTTTATTTTTCATTCTTGTCACTCCTCGGTCAGGTTTGAGCTCATAGGCTGGCTCTTACATCTCACAATTCTGGAGGCTGATCGAGACGCCAGCCAATTCCATTTCTGGTGAGGGATCTCTTCCTGGCCTGGACACCTTCTAACATGGGAGAGGGGCGAGGAGAGAGGGAGATTAAGCAATCACAAGAGCACAAGAGGGGACTGAACTCACCATCCTGATAATAAGATAATAATCTCAGAATTGATATTAATGTATTTGTGAGGACTGAGCCCTCAAGACCTAATCATCTCTTATTAGACATCACCTGTCAACACTGTTGCTTTGGGGGATGGTTTCCAACACATGAACTTTAGGGAATACGTTCAAGCCATACCGATTTTCAAGGTAGCAAACATTCTGTTGTACACCTTAAATAAATATAATTTTTATTTGTCAAGTCTCAAAGTTGGGAAAAATAAATAATAAGTGAATAATTTCCTAGAAGACAGAGAGCACATGTATCATTAAAGTTTAAGAAGCAAAAGACCCAGCATCCTCAAGGTTCTGGAAGGAAACATTTCTTAACTTTGTTTTTTGAATCTCCCTTCCATTTCTTATGGGTGTTTATATTGGCCAATGTCAGTTGAAAGCCAGTGTGAAAGAGAACCTCCTGATGTAGTTTTGCAGGGCAAAAGCAGAGAGGAAAATGATATGGAGTGGATCAGGAGGGCTTGTATCACGCCAACTAAACTGATTTAAACAAGGAAAAGATTCTTTTCTCACATCACAAGTTCAGAGGCAAGGCAGGGTTCTGGAATGACTCCAGGAAGGCAACGATGTCATTCAATACTGTTCTGTCGTCCTCAGCACACTGGGACCATCTCTCCCCACAAACAAAGCTGGTTTGTATATGTGTAAAATCAGCAAGGACTATATCCCTTTTTATTCATCAAGTTTTTAAAATAGACTACTTTTTAGAGCAGTTTTTTTTTCTGTTTGTTTTTTGAGATGGGGTCTTGCTGTGTAGTACAGGCTGGCCTTGAACTCACTCACTATGTATTTCAGGCTGGCCTCAAAATCATGACACTCCTTCTGCCTCAGCCTCCTGAGTGCTGGGATTGCAGGCGTGCACTACCATGCCAGGCTACAGCAGTTTTAGATTCACAACAAAATTGAACTGAAAGTATAGTGAGTTCCCTTTTATACCCCATGCCCCACACCTGCATGGCCTCCCTCCACTACCAACAACCTCCACAGGAATGGAGGTGTTTTAGTCAGCTTTCTTAAAAAAAAACACACACACACAAATCTTTATATGTATTTATTACTTGATGTAATAAAGCTTATTTTCATTAACAATTTGTATTATGCTATGGGTTCCTCCTCCTCCTCCTCCGGATTGAACTCAGAAAACTTGCACTTGTGAGGTGGGTGCGGTGACCATAAGCTAAGCCCCGAGAAACATTTCTTAGCAAGACAAACTAACAGAGTAAATGTGCAAGAACCTTAATAACAACTTCACCATCATTTTCGTATAGTCCAGGTAGCCTTGAACTTGCAATCCTCCTGCCTCAGCCGCCTGAGTGCTAGAACTACAGGAATAAGCCACCAAGCCTGATTTCCAGGCACAGTGGCATACTTCTGAAGTCCTTGCTATGTGAGAGGCTGGAACAGGGAGATCTTTTGAGCTCTACGAATTGGGCCAGCAGTGAGATCACATTCCACTGTCTGTGTATGTCACAGTTTATTCATTCACCTACTTACTAACATAATGATTTC